ATATATATATATATATTATCTTGTAAGTGGAAACCGTACGCAACCCCATCAATTATTGAATATTATTACAAAGTATAGCCTGTCGCATAAAGTTTATTTTGCTTTATTTAAGGACAACTAATAACACGCTTCTTCAATAATATTGTTGGTTCATACAAGAAAATTTTATAAGATGTTTTTTTAATATATTTGTATTATTAGGTACAATTTATATAGATGTCTTTAAAAATAACGAGTCTCACCTAATACAAAGGCTCAGAAAAAAGGATCCCAACATAATGTAAGCACTAACCATTTTTTTGTTTTTTTTAGGAACATCACTAACTCTTTGTTTGAAATTCTGTTTTTAATATTTTTTATTATTTTTTAAAACTTATTTAAAATCACAAATTTTTTAAGTTTCACAAATCATTTGACGAGGCTTTCTTATTAGTAAAATTTAATTTTTAATTAAGAATAAAAAATATTAATAAGAAAATATTCGAGAAATATCACTAATAATTTTTTATTTTAAAATAAAATACAAGATTTAAATTTTTTTTTTTTAACATGAGAAAGTCAGATTATTGTTTTTTTTTAAAAGTAAAAGTATGAGAGTTAAAAAAAGCTATATATTGGTTATTTCCAACGGATATTATTACACCAAACTGGCCTGGCACTAAAATGTTGGATCCCACTACTCGATTTTCATACATTCTATTATTAATATCTTTTGTCATGCATGATTTATTGGGTCTGAATTCTTCACCAGTACCCACTTGATTTCCAGACGGATACACATGGTGTCTTAAGCAATGATATGTCCATATATAAAATGTGTCAACACACACGCCCACACAAATACACACGCCTACATACGCACATATATAATATAGATATATAAGGATAATCATAAAACATAAAAATATTTTGTATATTAATTTAAATTAATAAAAAAATATCAAATTTTTAAATTTTTAAAAAATTTACAATGAGTTATTGAACGGAATAAGTATAGGTAAATTTACACTTGGAGTAAATTAACATATCCCTCCTCTATATATATATATATAATATATATACTTATACTCAATTTTAATGTTAATTTTGAATTGAAGTTAGCGGAAAAACACATAGAAAGTAGGGTTGAATATGTGTGTGTGAACAAAGGTATTTTAAAAACATTTTCGCAAGAGTAATGTTCTTTGTCTAATGTACTTTTAGATGTCAGACGGTTGTGCAGAATTTGCTTAACATAAGATCATTGCGTCTGAAAGATTTATCGCCTGTTGAGGAGAATGGTTTATAATAATAATTAAAGATCTTGCATTTTCCTTTTCAAGATAGTTTCATTTAAGGATAAGCAGTAGATAAAACCTTTCAGTATAATATGTTTGTTAAACAAAATTTGCGTCTTCATCTGAAAAATGGTTTTAATGAAGAATAGTCAGTAGACGAAGTTTTTTAACAGATTTGTCAATCAAGAAGAGTTTGCGTCTGAAATGTAAATAAAATAGTGTAATCATTTTTATACTGGTTCGCTCAACTGAGCTACGTCCAGTCTCCTTCAACTGAAGGGTTCCACTAAATATGAAATGAAGTACAAAAGTATTGTCGACCACTTCTACCTCGTTGACTTCACTCATCAACGCTAGTATCTTCTTATATATCAGCCTCTTCAGGCTAGCATTGAGTATTATGGACCACCCAGGTCAAAACCATTCATGGTCCAAGTATTCTTGACCACTCCAGGCCTTGAGTATTCTAGACCATCCCGGTTACGGAAACTCCTGGTCACAAGTATTCTTAACAACTCCTGGTTGGCTAGCTTCACTCACCAGCTCTAGCATTCTCAAATCACTTCTGGTTCCTTAAGTATTCTCGACCACTCCTGGCCCCTAGCTTCACTCACCAACGCTAGTATATTCTTATCAGCCACTTCTGGCTAGTAGTGAGTATTATGGACCGTCCAGATCAGAACCACTCCTGGTCCAAATATTCTCGACCACTCTTGGCCTGCCAGCTTCACTCACCAGCGCTAGTATTCTTTAATTAGCCTCTTCAGGCTCATAGTCAGTATTCTTTGACAAGCCCCTCCAGGCTTTACAAGTATTCTTTACCTAGCCTCTTCAGGCTTTACAATTATCAACAAGGCAGGCTTGGTTTGAATGTATGGGTTACTCTCAAGGAGAGGATATATATATGATCTACACTCTCTAAGGTTTCACTACTTTAGTCCTACAGAGATCCTGAGTGTGTGGGTTGCTCTTTACAAAGAGGATATATAATATTACAACACTCACTAAGGTCTCCTTCCTAAGATACACTCGGAACACCTTAGACTACAAAGACGAATACAATGATACATTGTAGATTTGACTATGAGAAATCGATCTTTGATCTCTCTATTTTCTTTTGGGCTTGATATTACTATTGGTGCTTAATGTTCAGAGCCTAGGGCAATGCCTATAGTTATTCTTTCTTTGCTTCTTGCCAATCTTTTTCAGTTTGAGGTTATTACATACTTATAGGCCTGTAAAATTTTCCCGTTGTATATGTCCGTTGAAGCTGATATAGTCATTCATGACTAGTTTGATCCTTTCATTTAATGCATTTGGTCTTGCATTAAATGTTGCTTCATGTTTTTACACATTGCGTGTATTCTTCTCTGTCCTATTGCCAGTAGTGTTTGACTTTCTCTGAGGCCTAGAAATTGTTTGTCTTTTTCTGGCCATGCAACAATATAGTCGTTTTTCCTTTTCTAAAAAAGTGATGCACTTTTTTTGACATATGCATGCTTTTGATTTTGCGTGTTTTTCTTCTTCTTCTTCGTTTCTTTATTTAGATCACACGTTTTACGTTGAGAGCTTCTGTGTGGTTATAGACGATGCCTTGGTTTGTCTCTTGAGAATTGTTTCTTTAATTGCTTGGTGGCAGTCTTCATCTTCATCTGTTGGTTCTGTGCATCTCAATCTTGTCCTTCGTCTCAGTGTCTAAGTTTAATGCTTTGCTTTTTCCTTGATCTAGTCAACAATGTGAATAGACAGACATTGTTTCCGTCTGGAGGGTCTTTCAGTCTGTGTTGTCCTTCTTCTGATGCATGTTTGACTTTCTTCTTATCTTTGTTTCACGCTTGGTCCGTTTCTTCACGTTGTACTGGAGGGTGTTCTTGACACACATCCATTTGATATTGGACTCTTAGGTGTCTGGTGCACTTATGGTATTTTGTCTA